AGGGGACTGTACATAGGAGAGTGTGGATCAGACCATAGCTGTTTTTTGTTAGAGAGGAAGATAATGAAGGAATATTTAGCTTGAAAAAGGGAAGGAGTGGAGAGAAAAGCTAACACAGAGAGACATTATACATACACACTCAATATCTTTTTTATCAGAGAACCTGGAAAGAAAGCAACAAAGGTCAGAGTTGTGTTAATAAAAAAGGTTTTGCTTCTCTAAAAAGAAAACCTAAGTTAAAATACGATCACCTATTTAAGTTTGTCAATTTCTACTCTCCTATCTCCTTTGCATCTGTTTTAACTCACTGAACAGATATTTTCCTATTGTGTGAGTGAGCCATGGTAGGCAAGGTAATTGGTACAGGTAGTCTTTGGTTAGATCACTTATTCAAAAACGATTCAACCTTATGATGGTGCTGAACGAGGAGAGTTACAGATGGTCCTCAAAGTGGTGGCTGTTGCAGTGTCCTACAGTAAAGTGATCGTGATTTGGGTGCTTGGTAATCAGCTCCCAATTACAATGATCACAGTGTCCAGTGGTCATGGGATAGCCATTGGTGACCTTTACTGTTGGCTTCTAACAAGCAAAGTCAGTGGAGAAGCCAGCAAAAGGTTTCAAATGACAATCACATGATGTCACACTTAACAACTGCAACTGAAACAGTTGGAGTTGCTATTGTAAGCTCATGTGGTCACATGATGTCATGCTTTATGACCACATTGACAGAGTTTCCGGTCCCAATTAACATAGTTAACCAAGAACTGTTATTATTTTTCTTTGACTTTATTACTGTATTTTTTCAGAAGTCAGTAACCAATGCAGATGACTTCCACCAATTAAGGCATGGCAGGCATAATGGGATAAGTCTGCCTTTAGAAGTCTGCCCATGTTGTGGATTATGAATTGATTGTCCCTACTCTGGCTCCCCTACTGAGCATCTTTCAAGTTTAAAAATAATGCAAAATAAAGAAATATATGGGAGCATACCAGGAAGAAACCACCTCCAAAATGAGGAAGACTGCATCTATTTGTACAACTACCTAGGTGCTGTAGAATGAGCAAACACACTATGGACAGCCACTCTTTTACTTCATCAGAAGGGGAAGTGTCTGAAATTGACAAATACAGAGGAAGTGGTAACCCTCTCTGCTTTTCCAAATGAAATACTCAGTTCTGCTCTTAACTCCTCAAAATATGTGTGTGGGGGGGAGGGGGACACAGCCTGCACCTTTCAACAGTTCTGACAAACTTTAATAGTCACCTGAGTTTCCCTGCAAGACAATGAGTGGTAAAGTGTAATACAGTAGATTTTATACACCTTGAGGCCATCCTTGGTTAATATAGGAATAATATGGGAAATGCATGTTTCATGTTAGTACTAGAATAACAATTTAACTGTGCTTTCTCATGGGTTGGATACAAGACAACAGTAATCTCACGCAAATAAACAGGAAGTTGCTACTATGAAGGCACGACATACGGTGGTCAACAGGGATGGGAGAAGATGTAAATTGGAGCTTTTTGGCTTTTCTCTTCTTTTTTCCCTTTATGTTTTGAAAAATTCAGTCAGTAATATAATTGTTTCTTTACAGGAAGATATCATCCACATTTCAAGTACTTTCAAGTATTTCCTTCTTTCAAAAAATGAATAAAACAAGTTCTACGCATGAAATCACAAGAGTAGAAAATAATACCGGAGGGAGAAAAATAGTGTGAAGAACTCCTATAGCTAATCTTTTTGAAAATGTTTTACTTTAAATTTTCTATCGAGAACAGGAGCAGTTTTTGTCCTCAAGAATTTGCCCAATATGGTCAGCCTTGAATGTAAGGCAATTCAGTATTTCAGACTAAGTCTTTTCCAGTCCAATTAAAGATGTTAGTAATTAAATCTGAGACAGCAACATTGTTGTTTACTCAATCTCTTCCCCTTGCCTAATTTAATGATGATAATGCCTACCTTAATTTTTGAGATGCTGGGCCAAAAAAATCCAGATAAATGCTGCCTAGTCCTAAAGTATGCTATCATCCTCCTTTTAACAGATTTATGGTGCCTACAAAATATTCTATTAGAGCTGTGCCCTGTTTCAGATTTAATTTCTCACAGTTGCTTCAGAGCAAATTGAAATGCTAATGTAACACCTGTCTGTAATGTTTTAAAGCAGCATCTTTTCTCAGGATTACACAGCTACTCTCTAAACAGCCTTCATGTCTATATAATTACGTAAGGAATCTGAATTATATGTTGGGACTTTGGAGAAAAACTCTGTTGATCCATGTAAAAAAAATAGCAACAGTTTCTCTGCCTTTTGGCTAAGATCAAGTGTAGTGTAGCAACAGCAAAAACTGATCCAGAGAAGTTTGCATTCAAGATGCATTCATAGTCAGATTAAAACTGTATGAACAGTCCACATGCTGTATCATATTTTGCCTATGTTAATATGTATAACATTTTGCATATGAAAAACCCAATGGTGTTTTTTTTCCATTCTACCCAAACATTCTTTGCATGTCATGCATGCAGGACTTCTTCACCATTTGTCCTCACTGCTATGATACTTGAGATTACTGTTCCAGGTTTCTTCATCTGGAAAAGCAATTTCAATAGAGACTTGTCTTCCCAAGCTGCATTATATCTTTGTTGGGAGAATCAACATTTAATAGGTCATAAAGAACCAAATGCATTCTATTGGAGATTGACTCCTTCTACTTGTATGTAATTTTTACTTACTCATTTCTGCTACTTTCCTGTATCAATGAGTTAAATGTTAATGGTTTTACCATCTTTTCCCGGAAATTTGCATCCAACCACAAAATACAGAAGTTATTAAACTCTGAAAGGAATGTAATATATCTGACTGGGGGAGGCACTACGGTAAGTACAAATTTTTGAAACTGTTTTGAAGCTGCTTTGAAATGTTGCTGTGAGTTCATGAATACATTCAAACCAGTGTTTTATCCAAGTATTTCAAAACAGGTCTACCAAACAAAGAAATTAAGCTGGAAACTGGGAGGAAGAAAGGAGAGAAAATTGATTACCATAGGTGTAAACTGGCAACATTGAGAAATATTGCATTAGAAGTGTGGATTAGCTAATCATTATATAATGAATAAATCATACAGGTCATTAAATGGTAAACACGTGCATGAGAAAGCTTGAATTCAATAAAGACACAGATCTGATCCACGTGACAAAGTAAGCGATATTGTGGTTAGGTGAAACTGATTGTCCATGCTGAAATCATGGAGCAAAATTACTTAAGCCATATCTGTACTCATGATCTCCACTTATCTAGCCCAGCCAATGTTGTTTTAACACTAAAGCAGCTGTTGTTCTCCCAGAAAACAGTATGTGTTGCAGGAATAATCAATGTTTTTCTGTCAGTTCTGGGCTTTCATTCTTTGCAGTTTTGTTTTTAAAGGAGCTAGGGAGAAATGTACACATTCAGGTCTTCTGTGACCCATTATTATAATCACAATGGAGGTTAGCAAAACACAGTGCAGAGATGACATAATACTATATAGCTATGGCCTTCAAACACATATGGCAAGAGTCATATGAAATATTCCATTAAGATCATTTCTCCATTGAAGGGTGACTTTCAAAGGTGATGTGGGAGACTTAAGAGGGTATTTCCAGATATTTTTGCTGACAGCAGCAGGAGTGGACATTTAAATTGACTGCAGTACTGGGATGGGGGGGTGTAGAAGAATTTAATCCTTTATTTGTGCTTTTTAATCAATTTAAATATAGCATCTATTATCCTTATAGCAGAAGAACATATACATGGGCTCATACTCTATCTGGCTTTTCTTTTACCATCACAAAATGCAGCTTCAGAGTGAGTATCATCAAATAAATAATGCATGGTTAATGTTTATCCCTTGCCCCAACACCCTCCTAGTCCTGATTCCAATGTTAGATATTTTTATATACAGTGCCAGTTACAAATCTCCTATGTAATGGCTCTTCTGGGCTGAAAACCTGGATCATCAATAGATGGCAACAACTACGGGACAGAAAACCCTGAACTCTGCTACTTAGAAGGTAATCATTTTTAAAACAGGCAGTACATATTACATATCATTCAAATATCTCACTATTTCTAATTGTTACTGAAGTGCTGCATTGGTTTAGAATCTTAAGAAAAATACAATGGATCTAAATAAGTGACCCAAAACTAGAAATGGCAATGAAATATTAGTTTTAGCTATTGGGTGGGATTCCTATATGCAAATGCATGCTGGACAATATACAAAGCTGAATATTTTCAACCATCTTAGAAACAGCACAAAACAGTTGAAAAACTCTGCCTCTAATGTCTGATCTGCAATAACAGTTTCAAACACAAAGGTTTTATACCATACTGTGTAAACAGTAAATAATAAACTTCCCCACATGAAACCACCCTGAGGTTTCCTTTACTATAAGAGTCCTTATACTTAAGTAAGAGAAACACAATCTGAAATTGTTTTTCTCCACTAACTAGGGCACCATAAAGTCACATGGTAAGCAACCTCACTGCAAACAGTGTACATTTTCCAATCCTCCCAGAAAAATTATAGCATGACGGATTGTAGCTCTAATTCAAATCAGTTGCTGAAAACATTCAGCAGCAACCTTCAGTCATGTTCCTTCTGAATACATGTAGATTCCATAGGAAGAGATGGAATACAAAGATAGAGACGCTATCACAATACCTTGGTTCTCATCTTTAGTCTACGGCTGGTTCTATCTTTGCAGCAACATGCAAAGGACTACAATCAAGCCCGCAATTGGCATCTGCATCCAATCTTCCCATTCCCAATCTCTACAGTGCCAGAGGCCAATTTCACAAGCAATCTGGCAAATGCAGTCACTATCTGGGAATAAAAGCCCAGTCCCCACAGTGTAATGGTTTGCAAACCATTGGCAACCAAATGAACAAGAAATGTTATCTTTCACCTATAACCAACTCCCAGCATACAGTAGGAGAAGGGTTAGCCGCCAGAATACTTACGAGATATATGCAGGATAAGCAAACCCAATCAGGTTGCACAGCAATGATGCTCCATAGCCAATAACCAGGTAAATAGCCAGCACAGCAATAATGGCTAAAAGAAAACACAGAAATTCAGTCCATCAGTCAGGACGGAGACTTACTAGGATGGGTGGGAAACATAATAGTGGTCCTGTTACACAGAGAAACATGCTTTTTTAAGGGAAGAAGCAAAGAGGAAATGGGAAAGTATTTCCATAGGGCCAAACTTTCAGCTCACTCATTCTTACCAAAACTCACTCTTACCAAAAGTTACACTCAGGATGAAGTCAGCTTGCCATTTACCTACAGGTTTCAAATACAAGACATAAGGGTAGGAAGGGGTGGGGACAAAACAGAAATGTAAACTAAAGGGATGCATGCCAGATGAGAGAGGAAATCAAGACTTCAGTTCATCCCAGACAGGTCAGTGAGTTAATAACTATCCAGGCGTGTAACTCTTCTTCCTCCCCTTTAATTATTTACAGATATGATTTCCTTAAAATTACTGAGGTGAGCTCCATTTCCTGAGGAGCTGATACCATTTACACTTCCAAGCTCTTTTTTCCCCACAAGGCTTAGGAGTTGCCGTGAATAAGCTATAAGGAAAAAAAAATCTCGTCTGCTATATAACCGGAGCCCTTCCACCCAGGTTACTGTTTCATCATTCAATATCCCAGGGGCTTCGGCCAGCATTTCTCCCAAATATCCTCACAAGATGCTCGGCAAGATTATAAATATGCAAGGAAGAGATGGGTGCCAAGGAGGTGCAGAAGCTGCAAGTACAGATAGTCCCCGACCTTACAACAGTTTGCTTAGTGACCGTTCAAAGTTACAATGGATTTGGGAAAAAAGTGACTTATGACCATTTTTTCACACTTATGACCATTGCAGCATCCCCAGGGTCACGTGATTTACATTCGGACGCTTGGCAAGCGATTCACATTTAATGATGGTCCCGGTGTTCCATGATCACCTTTGGAAACCTTCTGACAAGCAAAGTCAACGGGGAAACCAGATTCACTTCACAACCGTTGTCACCGATTTAACAACTGCGGTGATTCACTTAACAGATGTGGCAAGAAAAAGCATAAAACGGGGCAAAACACACTGAACCAATTTCTCACTCAGCAACATAGATTTCGGGCTCGATTGCGGTTGCAACCATCTCGGTGTGGGCGAGGTGGAGGAGTCACGTTCTCACTATCCCCTAAGGGTGCAGTGGAAGAACAAAACAAGAGGGGAGGGGAGGCTGCGGTACCAAGCCGAGGCTGGCTCAGTGTTTCTCAACCTTGACCATTTTAAGGCATGTGGACTTCAACTCCCAGAATTCCACAGCCAGCATTGCTGGCTGTGGAATTCTGGGAGTTGAAGTCCACATGCCTTAAAATGGTCAAGGTTGAGAAAC